GAAGTCAGGAAACTAAGTAGTTACTTCCCCTAAGCCTTAATGCTCTCATCTATAAAATGGAGTGATAACACCCGTATTCATACAATTGTAGGAACATTAAATTAAGTCGTGTATATAAAGCACTTCACACAGTGGAGGCCATGATAGTAACAGAACAATAAATATTACATAATGACTGTATAATATTAATATGATTACTCCTGTAATTTAAATAATTAATCCCCTCCAGTTGCAGGGAGCAGAACTCTTAGATCTTGACTCCCACAATCACTGAGCGCAAAGGAGTGTGTTGTAATGTCGCTACCTCAAACTTAGTACCAATATATGACATTCTTTATTGTTTTTAATGCTAAGCCATTGCTCTGCTCAAATGGTGGGAAAATGTACCCTGAATTTGTTCTGGGTTTTCTACCTCCCTCTCCAATTCTGAAGGGTGGGTCATAACCCCTGGGTCCCGGTGCCAAGGCTGGGCTGGGGAGAAGAGGGTTGCAGGGCCACGCACTGCTCTAACTCTGGTCCACGTAGGGTTCTGCATCCATCATCCAGGGACCCTACAGGCCCACGAGATTCATGTCCGTTGGGGGTGACATTTGGGGCATTGGACTGGCCACTCGTGTGACGGCTTGCGGAGTCTTCTGCGTGGGAGCACGCTAGCGTTCCATCTCGGGCCCAGATTCACTCGCTCACCGCCAGGAAGCTCGATGAAGATTCCCTCTGCTCAGGACCCGCAGGGTTCTCCTCTCTACTCTCCTCCGCCTTCTCTGCCCCTCTGGAGCCTGACCTCTGGAAACAATAGCGTAGAACTGAAGTGTTTGGCAGGAATTGATTCTTTTTCTGCCTTCCTACATGCTTCCCACATCGTAGCAAAGCAGCTGGGTGCACACTAATGACACAACGTTTAGTCTCGTGAGCTTTAGGCTTTTTGTTATGACAACACCCAGCCTCTACATACCAACTTGTGTCTCAGTTATCTATTGCTGTGCAACAAACCACCCAGAGCAGAGTGGCTTAAAAAATAGCCAGCGATTGAGCTCATGTTTCTGTGGGTCAGCAGTTTGAGCTGTGTTGTCAGGCAGTTCTGCTGGTCTTAGCTAGGCTCACTCATGATCTGTGGTCCGCGGCTGGTCAGCTCGGAGACCCGATCTGTGGGTAGGATGGCTGTCAGCTGCAGTGGTGGGGACCCTGGGCCCATGACATCATCACCCAGCAGGCTGGCCAGACTGGTTCACATGTGGTGATTGCAGGTCCCGAAGGACAGCAAGAGAAGGCACTTTTCAAGTCTGAATTTCTGTTGTTTCATTGTCCAAAGCAAGTCACAAGGCCAAGCTCAGAGTCAATGTAGAAGAGTCAGTGCCGAGGATATGCCCTTTGAGAAGCATCTCCTGGTGTGTTACTGGGTCCTGGTAAGGAAGAAATGCTAGACCATGGACACCACGTGACCATGCATGTGGAACTTTCCAGTCTGAGGTGGGTCCTGGCTGCAAATCCTTTTGGAGAAGGTTGGGGGAATGATGATTATATACATTTGTAGTGACATTGCACGTTTCTTTCTTAAGAGGACCAGCATCCTTTAATCAATGGGCTTAATAGTTTTGGGAAGTGACTTAGATCTGGAAAGGTCTGAAAGGAATTATAATTTTTCACTGTTATGGCTAACTAAATGTCTGCTCATCTGCTTTGGACTTTTCTGGTTCTACAAATTAAACAAATTTGGCTGCTCACCTCTCTTACTTCTGGGAATACCATGGTCTCTGAACCACTGTCACAGGTGCCGGTGGGGCAAGGCAACCTGCCCGTCAAGGTGATTATTTCTACCTTGTCTCTGCGGGTTAGGTAACACTACCCGGCCTCTGCTTCCCAGATTCATGCACATTAAAGCTAGATGATGCCTCTGCTCATGGTGGTACTGACTACTGTCAACACCGGCCTGACCATCACCATCAGACCTCTCGGCCTCGTACCTCTACACCGGTAGTTTCTGCCAGGGCACCCCTGCCGTGCCCTTTCCTCCCGGAGAAGGGACTATATTTTCTTGCCTGGGTTATGCTGAGACCGGGCCCTAGTACTTGGCCTGGGGCAATGCATGCAGTAGGTAGTTTTCATGTGAGACACCTGTCACAGGTCAAGTCTGTTCTCCACCCTGAGGTCACTGTCATTACTCTGATGCCTTTGAGGTTCCTTCAGCCTTCCCTTATGAGAATCGGAAAGTGGGCTTTGATCTCCACCTCCTACCAGCAGGAGTAGGTTAGGGCATGTTGTAAGCAAGGCCTTGGACTGAGGTTCTCTAAGTCTGATTTCTCCCTCAGGGTTTCAGCAGAACATTCTGAGAGAGCGGAGAGAACCCATCAAAGGTCTATGTCTCTCAGGGGCCATCCGGGCCACTGGTTTGTACTACTAACAGGGACATCAAGGTCCTAGGAGGTGATGTCCAAGCACTGTCCTAACTCCATTAGATATGTAACAATTGCTTTGAAAATGAACAGATTTTTTTAAAGGTCGGTTTAAAGAAAAATCTTAAGTAAATTGATGGTCAGGTTAGTACTGGGAATGGAACAAACTGTGAAGCTGGAAGGTCAGTGGCTGAGTTGGGGAAATACCAGGACACGTGGAAGAAGCTGTGACGGACACATACGTGGACGAGACCTCCTTCTGCGGAGGAAGGTAGTCCTGTACTCAGGAGGGGCTGAGACAGCAAAGCGCTAAGGGCTTCAGGAAAACCTAGGAAAGATGCTCGGAAGAAGTGGCCGTTGAAGTAGGTTAAAAGGATAAAAAGCTGAGGAAACAGGACATTTAAGATTGTGTGTCAGGGGGAGATGTGACAATAAGAGTATGTGCGAAGGCACCTGAATAACTCGAAGGAGTTGCAGTCGAGATGATCATATCATTTCTGGTTGGTTGGAGGGACAGAGGAAAATCTTGTTGGTGGCAACTAGGCAGGGCCAGAGCAGGGAGATCATCTGAGAAGTCTCAAAGTTGTAGCTAGAATGGACCTTGAGACCCTGCTGGGCGGGGCCAGCCGAGGTGCCGTTTTGAGCTGGCAAAGCTTGTGCCTTCCCAGGGCCACTCGCTTGCCCTGCGCAGCCTTGCCCCTCTCTCGGAAACTTCTCTGCCTCTCTAGCCTCTTCTGGGCTCTCTGTACCACAGACAGGTCTGGAAGCCTCATTCACACGCGGGTCTCTGGAACGTGTAGTCCTGAATACCTGCACGATTCTCCTCATACGCGGGAGACAGAGGCCCAGAGGAAAGAAGAGATTTGTTCGCGGATGCCCCTGATCCGAGGAAGGGCTGAGATGGAACGCGGGCGCTGCGAAGGGTCTCGGCCACGAGAAGAGCGTGCGGCTGCGCAGGGCACGAGACGGCAGCTCGCTTGCAAAGGCTTTTTAAAGCGCAGTGCGCGGTGGGTCTGTAGGCTCTACCCAGCAAACACTGACTGCCCAGCCTACAGCCCGGACATGACCTAAGTGCTCTCACGTCTAAAAAGCCGTAAGTCTGTACACCTGTCGACAACAAACATGTCTGTAAACGTGAATTAAGATATTTGTATACTTAATGTTAAATTAAACTAGTAAGTCCTGCAGGCAAGCTGTAAACATTTTAGAAATTCTCACCACATTCCCCAACCACCTCCCAGGATTTATGGTCACCTCAGAGGTGGACTTTGAATGTCCAGATGTCTGATATAGGCAGTCCCTTTTATCCTTACCCCAGTCCCTACTTCTCAACCGTCATCATATATAGGGACTGCTGTCCACAGTTATTCACTGGATTTCAGGGGCAATTTGAGCAATTTTTAACACTTTTTGAACCATATGTGATTGTTTTCTGAATTAAGAATCAAACCCTCACACAGACTCCACCAAAGTCCCCTTTCCGTAATTCCTGGCTTTCGGTGGCGCCTGGGAAGTGGAGTTGGAGCTGGCGAGAAAGATAACATTTACTGGAGGACTTCAAGTCTGCAAAAACACTTTCCTTGAGCAAAGGCGCCAGGCAGCCCTTGCTCTGACCTTGAGGAAGGCCTTTCCCGGTCACTGTGCAGAGCTGTGTATCCAGCAGTCACGCCATGCGTGTGCCTACCCCACCCCGCTCAGGGGGGAGCCCTGGGGAACCTTCCAGGTGGGACTGATGCTTCCCAACCCACTACGGATATTGTTAAATTCCTGCTCCAACATCTCTGAGGGTGGGACAGAGGATGCATTTGCAACAGGTGCCTCAGGTCATTCTGATTCCACCAGCCCAGCCCCAAGCTTTTGGGCAGCCCTGTCCTGGGCCCTGGACCATGACCCGCCCGTGTGTCTCGGAGCATGGCCTTACAACCAGGAGAGTACAGCAGTGAGAACCCGGAGTGCTGAGGACAGGTCCCAGCAGAACCTCCTTGGTCTTGTCTCCTCATAGTCACACTGGGCGGCCTGGGTCTAGATCAGAATCGCAGGCTTCACCCATGTCACAACTCAAGCCAGTAAAAATGCCACATTGGGCTCACATTGTGATTTTTATTTTTTTTAACAATTGAGGCCACATTTAAAAATCAAGCAATATTGTACACTTCTGGTTTGGTTCACCTACATTGTCAGGAAACATGTTTACTGGGGTTGAGAAGTCACTGCTCCTATAGACAGAGCATGTGTAGTCTAGTTTCCCACAGTCCCCACCACTCCCTATTGCTCTCCTGATCAGCTACATCCGCTGCTTGTTTGTTGCCTTCCCAGCCCTAGGGCATCTGAATTGAGGTCTCTGGCTTACCCGATCCCAAATCTACTTCAACTCTTCTATGAGCCCAAAGCCTAACAAATTATCGTTCCCTAGCTCAAGAGTTAATCATCAGATTTTTATGTAAATCAGAACAGGAAAGTCTTGCTTGGCCAATTCCTCTCTTGAATCTTGGTCTGATGCCATACTTCATCAATCCTGCAAACTGTGCCCGCCTGCTCAACATTTGTCTACTAACAAGAAGCTCTTTCTTGTCCTTGACCGAAGCTCTCTGAGGCCAGCAGCAGCCGTGGATGTCCAGGGAGCTCAGGCGGGCCAGCCGGATGAGTGGGGAGTGGGTGTACCCAAGCCAGGCCCTGATCTGGGCTGTTTGGGTCCTTGCAGCTGCCTCTGAGGGTGAGACACCCAGTGGGAGAGGAGGGTTCTCAGAAGACGAGGTAGGAGGGAGATTTCCCTATCTCGGAGGATTGTCCTCTGGTGGAAATGAAATTACTCCTTGGAGGTCTCTGAGGGCCCACGGAGGGCTGGCTGTATAGTAACCTCAGGGTACTGATCAATGTCCTAGTGTTGTCGAAAGCCCCAGGGCCAGAGTCTCTTCCTGGGCACATGGGTAGAGCACAGACGGCCTGGGCCCTGACCTTGAGTTGCTCACACCCTGTGGGGGGCTCGGAGAGCCTTTCGTCCTGAGCACTGGGGAGGGTGTGGGCCAGAGCCGGTGCTTCTGTGGTGCGGTTGCCCAGGTAGGACCGTCCCTATTAAAATGACATTAGCAGACGTAGCACCAAGACCCCTGGGTCCTGCTAAGTAAGTAGCTGAGCATGCAGCTTCCGAAGGCTCCATATTCTATGTGGCAACCGAGAAGCCTACGCCCTCGGTCTCGGAAGTCTCATCCTCGGACCCCTGGAGGTGGACCAGCTGATTTCAGGTGGCATCTGCATGAGAATCTTTAATTTTCATTGCGGTATAGTGACTTCATGTGTATCAAAAGCATATACCTAGCTCAGAAAACCACAATTCCGTAGATGTTATTGCATAAGATTTCTCTAGGTAAATGTGAGTTTATTTAGATTTAATTTTAAGAAAAATAAAAAGTCAGTGGTCATATAGGTGATGCACAGACTTTTGTGCTGGTGGGTATGAAAATGACTGAGGTGTGGGAAACTCTGGGCCAGGTGACTTTGTGCAGTCCTAGAATCTACAGAGCCTGGGGTGTATTGTCAGCTCCATAGGCAGGGAAGCTTCTGCACAGAGAAGGGAGACGGGTTCCCAAGGCAACCAGGGGACGTTTCATGGCTTGGTTCTGTGCTCCGGGGAGGAACTAAGTTGGTGCTCTGGTGCAGGTGACTTCTAAGGCAATCTTGAAGGAAGCAGTGGACTTGGGTTCCTTGAAAGGAATCCAGATACTTCCTGTTGCACAGCCTCTGGGCCAAAAAAGATCGCCCCCACCTTGGGGAGCTCTGAGTTCACCTTATTCCTGGCCTCTTCCCAGCCAGCTCCTGATTCTTCCTCTCTGTTCCCTTAGGGCCAGCTGGAGATGCACCAGTGAGGAACACCAGGCTGGGGTGGGTTCGGGGGAAGCAAGCCACTGTACTGGGAAGTACCACACCTGTGAATGTGTTCCTTGGGGTCCCCTATGCTGCACCCCCTCTAGGACCTCTGCGATTTACGAACCCAAAGCCTGTGTTGCCCTGGAGTGACTTCCGAGATGCCACGTCCTACCCTAAATTGTAAGACCAGGCTCGATCCCATGGATGGGCTGCGACCTGGGAGGGCAGAGCACGGAGGGGGAACAAGGTCCAGTGGGAAGGGGAGTGTCAGTGAGGAGAAGGGGAGGGCTACAGAAGTGGCTTCAGTGACCACGTGGCTTTGTTCAGAACATGCAGACCCCTGGGCTCCTGTCCATACTTCCTGAACTGGAATTTCCAGACCTGGGCCCGGAAGACTGGATTGTCTAAAAGCTCTCTAAGGGTTCCGAGTTCAATCACGTTTGGGAACCACTGTGATGGGCTTACTGACTCTTGGTTAGAAGAGACGGTCAGGTGTTTCTGTGTGACCTCTCAGCCAGGCTTAGTCTCCATGATCACTACAGAGCCTGGCTCACAGTGGAAAATCCATAAATGCCTGTGGAATGATGACATGAGAGTGTCTCTGTGGCACGGGACTGGGAGGTAAGGGGCCCCAATCACTGCAGATTTTCAAGCTTAGGCAGGCAACCAGCTTCCTGTCAGTCGCGTTAGGGGTATGTAGCTAAGACTTGGAAATCCCCAAGAGTATTCTGACTGTCCGATTTGGTGAGGTCATCAGGTTGGTCACATTCCTGGCATTGGGTTCCCAGGCCGAGGAGTACTCTGGTGCCAGGAAGCTCCCTAAGCCACAGAAGACCCCATGGGACCCGGGGACTGAGGACACTAAGAGGAAACTCATCTGTTCGTTCATTTGTTCGTTCATTCATTCATCTCATATCTGTTGAGAACCAACTCAATAACTGGATTACATTAGTCCCTGGGTGACACTACCATGGGTTAGACATAACTGTTCTTGGGAACCTACAGACTGGTAGTGGTGGAAGGGATATAAACAATAATGACAATTAAAATACAGAGTGACAAGGGCCACCCTAGGGGATCAGAGAAGAGGCTGAGGAAGCACAGAGAACCACCTAGACTAGCTTGAGAGGAGCTCAGGGATGGCTTTGTTGAGAGCACGAGGCCTTGATTTCTGATCAACAACCTACGAAGGGGCAAAAAGGCATAAATCTTGTCAGGGGGTAGATTTGCAGCAAATCTCTGTACTATTCTATCCAAAAAACTAACAGTAACTGAGCACTTTGTAGAAATATCCACATACATAATCTCACTTAATCTTAGTGTGTGTCAGGCTCAGTGAGAGGGGCTGTGAGGTACTTAGGGGAAAATGAAGAATCCTAAATGAGCCAAATAGTCCAGGGCAGAAAATCCTTTTTAAAAAAAGATAGGCTTCTAGCTGCTCACAGTTGAGTTGGGGAATATGATTACACTTATATGCAAGTTTTGGAGAAATTCTAAGAAAAAACAAAATATGTAGGTGTTTCCAAAGATACCTATGGTCTAACTGGAGAAATCTCAGAAGGCTTCTTGGAGGAGGTAGCATTTGGCCTGAATGTGAAAGAAAGGGGAAAACGTTAACAAGCAGATAGAGGAAGAGAGCAGCCCAGGGAACAGGACCAGCTTGAGCAAAGGCCTGGATGCAGGGGTCTCTCTGTCAGCCTACTCAGTTGGTTCCTGGTGGACAGGCCTAGAAATGTCCTTTTGTTTTTGTGGGGGCAGAAGAGGCAGCTGCCAGAGGAAAGCTCTTGATGTGCAACCCGGTATCCTGATTTCTACAGCTTGGGGAATTGTTGAGCCAGTCTGAGTCTTTGTGTGTTTGTCTGGGTTGTGATGGTGGGTGTAGCACTGGGTGGGTGCTGGTGGTTAATGGAACAATTACTGTGCACAATGTACTTTCCTACCCAGGTCAAAGAGAGTCATGCTTTGATTGTGCCACTGCGGTGGCGTGGCATGATTAAATTTGTACCAAGAGCCCCTGTAGGCATCTTCTGCTCCGGCACAGGAGACCACCAGGCTTCCTTGCTGTCACATGAACTGGCCCCTCCCAGGCAAGTTTGCTGACAGCAACTCTGGGGGTTTCTCCTCCCATTTCCAAGGTGCCTCCAGAACTCAGATTGGCTGCTCTCAGATCAACACATTCTCAAGGTGCATTACCCCAAATTGGAAGTGTCAGAAGACTGCTTGTATCTTAACATCTATGCTCCAGCTAGCGCGAACACCACCTCCAAGCTCCCGGTAAGGCTGCCTGCCGCGCTGGGGGCCCCAGCTAGCAGGTCCTTGTGCTGGGGCCCAGGCAGCGTCTGGGTGTCCGCAATCAGCCCCTGCCTCCTGTTGGGTAAAAGGGAAATGTAGTTGTTGACATGTCAATAACTTCCTTAAAATGTCATTCTAATGACAGATTCACTTGATCTTCTTTTTAGATTGCTTCTTTATTGTCAGTCATTTGACCTTTGATTTTCATTTGGTTCTGCTTCCCCCTCTCTTGAGCAGTTAATGGTCTCTACACATTTAGAGAAGACACTGCTTAAAAAGGACTGATTGCCCTGGCTGGTTTGGCCCAGCGGTAGAGTGTCGGCCCGCGGACCAGTGAGTCTTGGGTTTGATTCTGGCCAAGAGTTATTGTGGGAACTAAAAAAAAAAAAAAAAAGAATACCCTGATTTTGTTTTTTTGTTTTTTAAATCCTCACCCGAGATATTTTTCCATTTATCTTCAGATAGAGTGGGAGGGGGAGAAAGAGAGAGAGAGAAACATTGATGTGAGAGAGACACATTGACTGGCTGCCTCCCACATGATCCCGACCAGGGCCAGGGACTGAACCGCAACTGAGCTACATGCCCTTGACCGGAGTCGAACCTGCGACTGCGTCGGTCCGAAGGTGATGCTCTAATTGCTGAGCCAAATCGTCCAGGGCAGAAAATCCTTTTTTTTTTTTTTTTATCCTCATCCTCACCTGAGGATATTTTTCCATTTTTTGTGCAGATAGAGTGGGAGGGAGAGAGAGGAAGGGAGAGAGAGAGAGAAACATCGACGTGAAGGGACACATCGAGTGGCTGCCACCCACACAACCAACCAGGGCCGGGGACAAACTGCAACCGAAGTACGTGCCCTTAGCGGGAACCGAACCCGGGTCTCTCCGGACCGCAGGCCGACGCTCTAACCGCTGAGCCAAACTGGCCAGGGCAGAAAATCCTTTTTTTAAAGAAGATAACTGCCTTCTCCAATTTTTCTGTTTGCAATGAAGACAGTCAGGTAATAATGTGAAGCATTTTATTTAAGAATATATTGCCCTGGCCAGTTTGGCTCAGTGGTTAGAGCATCGGCCTGTGGTCCAGAGAGACCCGGGTTCGGTTCCCGCTAAGGGCACGTACCTCAGTTGCAGTTTGTCCCCGGCCCTGGTTGGTCGTGCGGGTGGCAGCCACTCGATGTGTCCCTTCACGTCGTTTTTTTTTTCTCTCTCTCTCTCCCTTCCTCTCTCTCCCTCCCACTCTATCTGTACAAAAAATGGAAAAATATCCTCGGGTGAGGATAAAAAAAAAAAAAAAAGAATATAAAAGATCCCTGTATAAGTGAGTCTACCATCTAACTTTGCACCACAGCCTCCCGTCACCTTCCCCCCGCGAGCACAGTGAGACTCACTCTGCTGCATTGTCATGGCAAACCTATTGACTGCTGACGTGCCAGGCACAGCACATTACCTCATCGAACCCCCACAACAACCCCGAGGGTCAGCGTTACTGGGCCCATTTTACAGGTGTCAAAGGTCAGGCATAGGGAGGGCGTAAGTGCCTTGCTCCATGCTCTGCACAGTGAGTGGCAGACTCTGTGTCAAAGCCAAAGCTTTGTCCAGTTCTCCTTTCCCTCAGTGGCTTCCTTCTCTCTCCCTGCCCCAGGGTTGCAGTCCCTAATGTGACCTTTGAAAAGGAGAATGGAAGGGATTTATTATTAAGTATACACAGTGATAATAGCATTTGAGTAATGATTTCAGTTCCCTGGTCCCAATGTTTCTAATCAGTATGGTAAAGTTTCCCCACTTCTTTTTCCTTTTACTCTCTTCTCTTTGTAGGTGGACAAAAACCTTAGACTAGAACAGCTTCAGCTGCGTTTGCTCTCACACAGCTTACAGTGATTTCCGTCTTCCTGTGGTCATGTGTTCAATTCTAGTTAACACTTTCTGAGCCCTTGAAATGTGCCAGCGTTGTTCTGTGAACCTCAGGTGCAGAGTCTTGTTTAAACCTCACTGGTGAAATACGTTTACTCTTCACATCTCTCAGATGTGAGAACAAGGCTCCGAGAGGTTAAGTAATCTGCCCAAGGTCACACAGCTAGTCAGTGGCACAGCTTAGCATCAGACCCAGGCAGGCACCCAGATGCTAGAGCCCACATGCTTACCCCTGAGCCTTCTTCTAAAGACAAACCTCTGATGCTCTTTAGGAAGGTACATGAGACATTTATATTTTCATAAAGAAGAAGGACCCAGATTGCACAGGGACGGGTGTGGGTGCTCAGCAGGCTGACTGAAAAGTGCCTGTCCCCACTTAGGTCATGGTGTGGCTCCCGGGGGGCGCGTTCCAGACTGGCTCAGCCTCCGTCTTTGATGGGTCCGCCCTGGCCGCCTACGAGGATGTGCTGGTTGTGACCACCCAGTACCGTCTAGGAATATTTGGCTTCTTCAAGTGAGTGTCCCCAAGTGATTGACACCCTTGATCCCCAAGGGGCAGCTGTGCATCAATCATAAGGGATTCAGTGCCCTGGATCCTAAGGAGGAAAGAGCCTTCAGTGACATTGAACAAATTTGACCCAAATTATTTAGGTAATTTTAGCAATGAAAACCCCCAGTTTTAGTGGCTGAGAACAATAAAAATCTCTCTCGATCCAGGAAAATCTAACTGGGTGCTCCTCACGGACAGGCACCCTCTCACAGATCAGTCAGGGGCGAGGGCTCCTTCGACCTGCGGCTCTGCCCTTCTGTAGGGCCGCAGACCCTCTGCATTTGGCCAGGAGACGGAGAGAGAGGCTGGAGGACCTTGTCAGGGAGGTCTTTCTGGGTCATCCCGGAGGCGGCACTCATCACTTCTGTTCACACACCATTGGCTGAACCCAGTCGCGTGACCATACCCAACACAAGGGAGATAGGGCAATGTAGCCCAGCTCTGTGCCCTGGAAGATGACACAGAATGTGCGAGCAGTTAATTGTCTCTGCCATGGGGCCCCATCTCAGGCTCCTCAAATGCTCCCCGGAGAATAGTCACTCCACTGCATTGTCTTCTCTCCCCAGTCATTGTCCACTCATCCTGGGAAACATGCCCTCTGCACGGGCTACAGCAGGGTCCATGGCCAGGATCATGGACTCTGGGGGCAGACTCACTGGGCTTGAATCCCAAATCTGCAACATTTTAGGTCCTGGGCAAGGGATTTGCTCTCTATGTCCCCCTATTCCGTGTCTGTGAGAAGGAGCCCATGTATCCAGCAGTATCCTTAGGGCTTGCTAGCAGATTTCATTGACGGGAAGTGGTATGAGCTATGGCCTCGGAGAAATGCAGCCACTGCCCAAACCACGTCCCAGCGGAGAGGGGCCTGCGGTAGTGGACTAAACATGCTGGTCTCTCAGGGTCCTACCCACAGCCCCGGTCGGTGCCTCCCACTGACCTCACGCAGCGGGAAGCCTGGGTGTTGCAGTTCATAGCAGTCAGCCTTTCAAGAGGAGGGCGGGAAAGGTGGGGAAGAACCCAGAGGGGCAGAGGGAGAAAAACCCGCACCATCTGTCTCACAGGTTGGGAGGATTATGGGAGCGTCAGCTGTAACGCCCTTAGGACAGGGTTATGCACAGTGCTGCCACTACTGTTAGTATTGTTATTACTCATTTAGTCATTCACTGGAATCTCTGTGCCCAGGGAGATCTCAGGAGCAGGACTCTTCTGGAGTTCATGGATTCAGGGGAGCCTATGAATACCCTGAAATCTGTGCATTTTTCTGGAGTGTATAGCTTTCCTCGGATTCTCAAACCCATATCCCAGCAGAGGGAGAGAACCAAGCCTGGTTTCCCCCATTACCCCAGTTCTCTGACCCTCAGCCCTTCCCCAGGGGGAGTGGTGATGCCCTGACATCTCCCCACAGCCTCTGCCACCGACTCCCTGGGCTGTGGGAGGCATTCAGTGGCCCACTGAGCATTCTCACCCTGCCTCTTGTTCCTAGCACAGGGGACCAGCACGCTCTGGGGAACTGGGCCTTCATGGACCAGCTGGCTGCCCTAACCTGGGTCCAGGAGAACATCGGGTTCTTTGGTGGAGACCCACGCTCCGTGACCATCTTCGGCGAGTCAGCGGGAGCCATAAGTGTGTCTAGCCTTGTGAGTTCTTCTTTGGGACTTGAGTGGACCTCGGTGGGGGAGGTTACAAAAATGAGGACAATGAACCGTTTACACCTGCTTGGTGCTTCCTCGTGAACAAACGCTTTTATATACATCGTCGCCCTTAGCCTCACACCATGAGTTAGGAGCTCTGTCTCATTTTAAGGCTGACAGCTGTCGTCAGAGAGTTTAAATGAATCACCCAAGATCATATAGTGAGTGATAATTCGAGGGAAAGTCATTTATATTTGTATAATCGAAGCCCTGGTAAATCATTTAATAGAAAAGCTTCAGCTAAAGCATCAAATAACAAAGGATGCATGTAAACATTTCATTATAATTTAAAACATAAAATGCACATTCCTTCACCAGCAGTTTGACACAGGGTCTTACTTTTCAGAGTCAGTTTGCTTACTGGAGGTCCAAAAAGGCTCTTCTGCATAAACCACCCACAGAACCCATTGCCCTCAAATTGTGGGTTCAGTGTCCCTACAGGAGCGTACACTTAAAGGTGCCTGCAAAGCAGTCTGGGAATGCAGCCCGCTTACGGAGTTTTCTACCCCCCTCCCCCCGACATGATTTACTCTTATCTTGTTCACCCCCTAAGGTGATAGCCACATTTTAAGCTACCTGCCTCTGTTAAGGGCTCCCCCTCAAAAAAACATCGTTTTGTTTTCCTTTTGCACACACACATCCATTGGTTCCCACGATAGTTCACTGATGACATACTTACAGTAGCAAGTGTAACCAACAAAACAGTTTGGAAGCAAACACACCTGACTCTTGGCTAGAAATGGATGGGACGGGAGACGTGCAGAGGGGCTAGGAAATGGGTCACCAGCTCGGAGTGCCGAGCGGTCAGCACCTCCTGGGCGCAGGCCACACGTTAGCCAGGGAGTCCGCTCCGCGGCGGGGGGCTGAGCTTGGGACACTGGACCACAGACAGGCTTCCTTGTCTCCCATATAACCCGGGGAGGTGGACTATAGCAACGTCACCTCCGTGACAGCAGCCACCGTGCCGTGCTCGTCTCCCACCCAAGCGCTGTGGCCTCTGGTTCATCACGTTCCTACCGCGGGACGAGTCCGGGATGTCGGCTCACCTCCCGCAGTTCTGTGAGGGGGAGCAGACGCTTAGAAACGGTCAGCACCTTGCCCGCGGTCACCCGCCGGGAAGGAGGGTTCGCTCCCCGGCCGGCGCGCTGGACCTCAGCGTTCACGAGGGGCCCGGGCTTGGAGAGGTTATACGCCTTGCCCACACCTTCCCAGCTGGTCCTTGGACTTGCACACCAGGACGCTTTATTCTCTGTGGTCAGCTCTCTCAAGGAGGCTTCCGGGGACGCTCCTTAAAGGAGGGTTGGGTGGCGTGTGAGGGGTGGGAAGCCCCCTGGGTAACGTTCCCGGATCTCCTGTGTTCTCTCTGCAGATCCTGTCCCCTCTGGCCAGTGACTTATTCCACAGAGCCATCATGGAGAGTGGGGTGGCCATTATCCCGTACCTGAAGGCCTCTAACGAGGAGAGGAATGAGGATGTAGGTACATGACTCCCCTCTGGCTTCCTTCCTCAGTCAGGTGCTGGCAGACCGCGGGCTTGGCCTCACTGACCACGGCCAGAGAAGCTGCTGCTGGCCTCTGGCGAACGTTGCTGCGGCACGGGAGGCCGTGTCCAGTAGGAAGTGGGTCCCAGGACACAGTGTGCTACTGCTGGTGTGCGTGAGCGTGTGACAGTTCTTGATCTTACCCACGAGTCTTTGCTTGTGAGATATATATATCTGTATTTCACACAGCTCACGTCCTATAACCTGCTCTAGTCCACCTAGAGTACTCTGGTGAGATTCTGATGCTGTCTCCAGCTCGGGAGGAAATAACGCCGTGAGGGGGAGATGAGATGTATGCCCCAGGTATTTGTCATCTGTCATCGTGTCCTTGCATTCTGCCAGACAGTGAGGACCTGGAGACCAAGGTCTCTGTGTTGTTCATGTCCCAGCATAATGTCTGGTGTACAGCAGACGACTATAAATGTTTGCTCAATGAATGAGTTCACGAGTGAGCGGATTCACTTAGTGAATGTTAATTAAATGCTGGGCTACTGGGCCATCTGGGAATCGGTCATGTTAGCGGTGCATTTTCTTAAACACCTTATAGAAACTAACAACATATACCAAGAGCAGAAACAGTCATAATATTGCAAAAATATCCTCACGACAGAAGGAAAGTTGATTTTGGTAACATGATATGTCCGGCGACTTTCAGTGTGTACATACATGTATCATGCAGCACACGCATGGTGGGTGCCTGTTGTTTTCCCAGCTCTGCGCTGGGACTGTGGGTTTATACGTGCAGAAGGCTTATGCTAACTTGAGGAGAGTACAGTCATTTCATGCAGGGATTTCAAGCCTGGAACCCATGCCTATGTTTGGAGGTGGTCCTCACACTCCTACGATTGTGCAGACTGTATGTTTGTGCATTTCCCCGGGGAGGGTCTGGGGCTGTCATTGGATTCTCAGAGCATCCATGACTCTCAGAAAATTGAGGACCACCGCTTTCAAGGGACAGATTCTACACATGTGGAAAGTTCAGTGACAGGGCAAGAGGGCGTTTAGCAAAGGGCTAGGGAGAGAAAGTGGGGACCCTTGGGGGTGAGGGGAGATCAGAGGAGGAAGGGAGGCACAGGGGCTGCAGTGGTCTGAAAGGACATCTGGGAGGAGGTGGGACTTGGCCTCGAAGGGTCAGTAAAACTGGTGTAGAAAGAGGAAGAAGATGGCGTCCCAGGCGGGGGTGAGGGCGAGGGTGAGCTGACAAGCTTGCATCCGGAGCTGGACTCATGCCTTGACAGAGCTTGCAAAGCTGCCCCTTGCCCTTTGGACCTCTTGACTCCATTTGGCACCCCGGAGTTGGGCTTCTGGGCTCTGTGAGGCCTAGTGCCAGTGGAGCCAACACTACAGCACGGTGACATCACAGGTCACACATGACCAGGAATCTTGACTATTCCATGGCCACAGATGGACAAATCCCCAACCCCAGCTCAGCAATTGCTAAGGAAGGTCAGGTAAGAGAGTAAGGATGACGCAGGGCCAACCTGTGCTCACCGTGTCCTCACCGTGTCCTCTCCACCGCAGGGACACGGCAGTGGGAGGGCCAGCAGTCATAAGGAAGGGCTGGCCTGTGGCTGCACGGGGGACTTTCCATTTCCTGAGCTTTCAGGCCTGTGCTCTAACTGCGTCCTCTGCAAATAGTTGCAGGTGGTTGCACACATCTGTGGCGGCAACGCATCAGACTCCAAGGCCCTGCTGCAGTGCCTGAGGGCAAAATCCTCCAACGATTTGCTGAGCATCAGCCAGGTGAAGAGGGGAGAGGGTTGGGGCAGAGTTGCCCTTGGAATGGGGTGGTAGACAAACCTTATTGCTCTTGTTTATTTTGACTTGGGACTTGGAAAGATGGGAGCTGGGGAGTCATAGTGATGGCTGTAAAAATGTGGACCCTAGGTCCCTTATAGCTAATTTAAGGAACCTGATGAGCCAGGAATGCCTACTCAGCCTGGAGAAGATCCAGCAAAATACAGATTACAAAAACTGTGCCTCAGCCATTGAAGGCTTCTCACTGGGAAGAGGGACCATACTTGTTCACAGTGAGATGCCTCAAGTCAAGATCAAGAGCTGGACGTTAGAAAGCCACTGTGCTTGTTCTGACCAAGAGCTTCCTAAACACTCTTTGTCTGAAAAAGGGCCTGCTCTTCCAGAAGGCAGAGACACCCGCCTCTGTGGGGATGCGGGAAGGGTCCCGGGACAAATTTCAACCACTGATGATTCATTGGACTGAATGATCTTTTATGTTCCTTCCAATCTTGAGACTTTCTGACAGTCCTTGGAAGAGCGAGGTCATGATCTGTCAGATTCCAACAGTTGTTCATGGTGATTTGGCATGAACGGAGGATTTGCTGAGAGTTGAGCTAGAGTTTGGGAAGTGGACGAGTCCTTGACCTGATGGAGTGTCCAACCCGACTTCCAAACACAGACTTAAAAAAAGAACCACAAATAGAACCAAGTGCTGCTTTCTGAGACCCAGAAAACATGCAGCCTGATCCAGGGCCCAGTGCTGAGGAGACACCACAGGAAGGTGTTCACTTGACCCTCACGACCCTGACGTCCCCTCCGCTCACCACGCTGCCCATTGCATTAGGCCAGTGGTTCTCACACTTGGAACATGCACCAGAATCACCTGCAGGGTTTATTTTTTAAAACTTGGCTGGACTGTACCCCAGAGCTTTACATTCAGTAGGCTGGGGTGGGGCCTGAGAATTTGCATTTCTAACAAGTTCTTGGGTGCTGCTGATGCTGGTCTGGGAGCCCTGCTTTGAGAACCACGGTGCTGGGCACTGTTTTTCTTAGGTAGGTACTGTACTCATCCCCTGCAGCAGAGGAGGAAACTAAGGCACAGGGAGTTGGCCCCCCTTGCCCAGGCAGCGTGGGTGCATTGGGATTGCTAGAGCGGGTTGGCTCGGCGTGGCTCGGGTTTGGGGATGGCAGATTTTGCGAATAGAGACAGCTTCTGACTTTTCTCATTTCAGGTAACCAAGTCTTTCACTCGCATGGTTGATGGTTTTTTCTTCCCTGATGAGCCTCTAGAACTATTGATTCAAAAATCATTTAATTTAATTCCTTCTATAATCGGAGTCAATAACCACGAGTGTGGCTTCCTGCTGCCCATGGTAAGAATTCTGTCTGTGCCTCCTGTCACCCCCTCCACAGTGAGGCAGGAGTTGGCTCCCACCGCAGGTCACTCCCATAGTGACAAGTGTTGTAAGGACTGGAGCCCAGCAGCCGAGTACAGAGCGGTCAGCGTTCCTGTCTCTGAAGGAGGCTGCTGAAGACTGGGTCACCATAGTAGGTGTCTGCCCTATCCTTGGATAGGGATATATATGGCCCTAAGGGACAATGGGGTCCATTTGAGCTCTGTTCACAGCATGACGAACGCTTGTTTCGCATAAGCAGTCACCTCTTACGAGGTGAAATCCGTGCAGGTTCAGGAAATTCAGGCCTTCACACTTCCGGCCTCAGCCCTGGCATTGGGGTTTCCAAGAACGCGCTCTACGCGGGTCCGAGCTGCAAAAGCATCGACCCGTTCCATTCCCTCAACAAGGACGGGCTGGTACTTACTGTATGCCCCGAGCTCTCACAAAAACTGCGCATGAGCAGAGAACGTGACATGGTCCCAGCTCTCTGCGCGTGCACCCTCGAGGGCAGAGGCGGATGGAGTGCGAGGTTGAAAGGACGGCTCCAGAGAAGGCTGTGAGGGACACAGGCTGGGGAGAGAGCTTCTCTAGGGAGGAGGAGGGGTGGCCGGGAAAGGCTTTCCTGAGGGGGGTCACGTGCGCTGAGGGCTGTGATCCCTTGACCCTGTGGTTCCAGAAGACCCGCCACAGTTGAAATACACTTCGATCTGCCCTCAGAAGAGCGGAGTGTTCAGATCCTCAATACCATCAAAGCTCATTTGATGGACTAATCTCCTTCTCTCAAGATGCAGGAAATTCGCTTTGAAGTGCAGAGGTTTGTCGGTTACAGGCTAGTTGGTAGCCACAATTCCCAGCTTCTGAACATGCAGAGAGGGTCCTTAGAGGTTAAATATACTTGGGGATAACTTCAATAACTCTAGGGGTTCCCTCAGATTCCAGGAGACAAATTTGTTTAAATATCTACTCTAGTGATTCATTCCTCCCAAGATTTTTAGCAGGAAATGTGCCAGGGAAACTCATTTGACAAGTGAATAGTATCTCTGCCCCCTCATTTTTAAACTGTAACGTTGGCCAGGGAAAGGTCATTTAACAAATAATTTCTCGTACCTCTTACTATGCACTGAGCAGAGCCTGTGTTCTTAACCACCAGCCTCACCACTGCACTGGCCGCCTGCCAGCTGCTGGCTTCTCGGGGCCTGATTGCCAAGGTCTTTGGAGAGAATAGCAAACCACTATTCTCGAGATTCTCTGGTCTCTCGTTGAACTTGGTTTCGAAGCCAAGTTGTGGCTTGTATTAGTGTGCTAGGGCTGCCATAACAAAACGCCACAGGCTGGGTGGCTTACACAGCAGGACTTCATTTTCTCACAGTTCTGGAGGCTGGGAAGTTCAAGGTCAAGGGGCTGGCCAGTTCGGTTTCTTCTGAGGTCTCCCTCCTTGGCTTGCAGGCGGCTGCCTCCTCGCTGTGTCCTCACAAGGTTTTTTCTCTGTGTGAACCCATCCCTGGTGTCCCTGCATGTCCAAATTTCCTCTTCTCATAAGGACGTCAGTTAGATTGGATCAGGGCCCAACCTAACATCCTCATTTTAACTTAATTACCTCTTTAAAAACCCTATCTCTGCACCGTCACATTCTGAGATCCTGGGGTTAGGGCTTCAACATAGGAATCTGTGGGGGCCCACGCAGCCCATAATGTGGCCTTTCCACGTGGCAGTGCTGGGTCCCACACGGTACAGGTGTAAGTGGGAGTGGGTGCCTCTTGTCAAACGTGAGCAGGAGAAACTATTGCTTGGCCCACCCACGAAGGCTGCTTCTGCACATGGCCTCCTGGGGCTGAAAGGTCACTGCTCTTCCCCGCCTCCCCCTGGAAGGCTGGCGCCTGCGCCCTCAGAGAGACTAGTTCCCTTTGGGGGACCTGGTGTGCTCAGAGGGCCCCGATTCTCTCCACAGAAGGAGTTTCCTGAGATCCTCGGCGGCTCCAACAAGTCCCTTGTCCTGCATCTGCTGCACACAATCCTGGTAAGTTCTGAATTCTGAAACCCACTTGGGACTAGGGACTCATCTTCACCACATGCCAGCCAGGCTGTGGACTAGGTCCCAGCAATACTGAGGACGTTACTCAGCCATTTATTTATTCACTCCCTGCACAAATACATCCTGGACTTGAGGATGTAGAGACGGATTACTTTCCTTCCTGCTTTTCATCTTTCCATAAACATTTATTCAGTGTGTGCTCTGTGCCAGGTTCATTTCATCCATGTGTTCAGTAGTCAAATGTTTACTGAGCGTCCACATACCCCAGAACTTCCCTAGACACTAGGGTACAATCAGAAACAGGCATGTCCCCTGCACTTGAACCTGTAGACTATTGGGGTGGACAGACCTGAGGAGACTCTTCAGGGTGTTGCTGCACAGATCAGGGCAGAGGGATGTCCAGGGTCCCGCAGTGTCCACGGGAAGGAACAGGCGGGTCACTCAGGGAAGGGTTTCGGAGGGAGTTAGATGTTTCTGGCAGATGGAGGAGCGGTGCTGAGGGGAGCTGGAGGAGCTGAGAGGCCCAGTTAGGCCAGAGCAGTGTGGAAAGGTCAGCAGAGGGTTGGCTGCAGCAGGGAGGTGCTGCGGCTGTTACGTACTGTGGTGGGAATGTGAGCTCACCCCAGGGACTGGGAAGGGGAGAGTGACTTGGTTTGATATCCATTTGAGAAACAGTCCAGTGGCCGCAGAGTGGACCAGAATGGAGGCAGGGGTCCTCAGCCCTCAGGCTTAGGTGGGATGTTGGATGAGTCTTGGCTGCCTGAAGATGATACTTGGGACTAAAGTTTGAGAGACATTTAAAATATGAGTTGGACAGTGGAGTTTCCCAAGCTGGATTGGAGATGGCCTCACGGAGGGAGAGGTCATTGAGCTGGGTCTTGGGGAAGGAGCACATTTGAGCAGCAGGGCATTTTGAGAGGAGAAGGTATCTTGAGCAGACCCCTGGAGTGGGAGGTGGGCAGTGTGGGAAGGTGCATGAGGACCAGAAGGGTGTGTAGCCTCTCCTGGGGCCAGTAGCAGGGCAGGAGGTGCTTTTCAGATGGTAAGTTGTTCTCTGATGCAGATGGCGTAGTCTTGCTCCAGAACCCAGGGGTCTGCACCTTGACTGCCCTGTTGGGCTCGCCAGAGGCTCCATACAGCATCTGTACCCATCTTGGGTACTTGGAGCACCAAGGGGGCTGCTGGGCGTGTGGTCCTAGTGGGAGGCACCTGCTCCGGAGCCTGGGCCTACTGCACAGCCCTCACTTGCTCTGGGCCTGATTAAAGCGGCAGCCTTCGGAGGGCCCGATGGACAGTCCAAGCAGTGCTCCTCGGTGTGGTACATGGCGCCTCCACAATCCCCAAGAAATGTGAAACGCTGTGCCTCTGTGGTACAGTTCGGGGTTTGAGGTGCAACAACTGTCTCAGCATTCTCCAGAGTACTAGACCCCTAAGAACAGCACCAATGTGGCTGACCGGAACCTTTATGAATTTTCCTCCCACCTTCTGGCATTTGTGCCTGGAAAAGGTTGAAGGATTGCAGACTGAGAAACAGCCCGGTACCAGGTCAAGGAAAGCATGGTATGCCCTGTTGAAGGCCTTGGCAGTGGGTCTCAGGGAACCAACAGAACTAAAGTCCTGCTCCATACCAGGCTGCAAGATTGTCTCTTTCCATCCAGTGTAACCCTCTGGACAACCCATTGTTTTTATAGGTGAGGGAACTCCAGGAGACCAGCGAGCTCAGATCAGTTAACAAAGACCGGGAGTCACTGCTGCTACCAGGAACGGGCGTGTGACCTGTGTAGTCAAACGGACCCTATGCTCAGAAGGGCCTACACTTGGTTGCATGTTCTGTTGTCACCATCTTGAAATTCTTGTAATTTCTGAACAATTTTTCACTTGCCATTGAACATTGTCAATTGGTACCGGGTCCCACAAATGGTGTAGCCAGCTCTGCCCAGGGTTGGCTATTTATGAAACATTCCAGAGGGGTATGCATGCTGTGATTAGGAACATGGGGTTTAGCCCTGGCCGGTTTGGCTCAGTGGTTAGAGCGTCGGCCTGCGGTCCAGAGAGACCCGGGTTCGGTTCCTGCTAAGGGCACGTACCTCGGTTGCAGTTTGTCCCTGGCCCTGGTTGGTCATGTGGGTGGCAGCCACTCGATGTGTCCCTTTCACATCCATGTTTCTCTCTCTTCCTCTCTTACCCTCCCACTCTATCTGAACAAAAAATGGAAAAAAAAATCCTCAGGTGAGGATTAAAAAAAAGGAACATGGGGTTTAGATGCAAATAGACTTGTGAAAGAATCATGGTTCCACCAGTTTAGACCAACCGCTTAACCTCTCTAAGCCTCAGTTCCCTCATCTGTGAAAGGGGCTGGTTTTGATACTTGCGCCACAGGCTCGCTGTGTGGGCTCAATGACACAGTGGAATGCTCAGAATCACGCCTGCACAGGCAGATGCTTCACACATGGGCTTCGGTCATTGACCTGGGTCTCCTGTGACCTTGGTCTTTTGCAGCATATCCCCACCCCATATTTACACTTTGTGGCTGATGAATACTTCCACGATGAGCAATCCCTGTTTGACATACGGAATAGTTTTCTGGACTTGCTTGGAGATGTGTTCTTTGTGGTCCCCGCGCTGGTCACTGCTCGACATCACAGAGGTGAGTCCCGGAGCCACTGTCCTGCAGGACCACGGCGCAACAAGCCTGGTGGCTGCAGGGATCCTTGTGCCTGCTGACCGCCGCCTTCTTGGTCCTTCTGTCCCCTCACGGAGAGGAACCTCCCAAGGGGCTCTGGGGTTTAACTGTACATGCCAACTCTGCAATTCCCTGCCTGCCAGGGTTCGGGATGTTGGTCAGTTCTTACAGTTTCTGTTCCTTCCCCAAGGGGGTGGACCTTGGATCAGCATGAAGGGCTGTTTTTGAAGAGTAGAGGCTCTGCCCTATCAGGCTGTTGTGAGGGCCTCTGGAGCAGAAAACACCAGCTCCAATAAGGAAGAGGGAAGTTAGCTTTGGTCAAGTCACCTCTTGTATGGGGTCTGGCCCCACCCCTGGGTCTGTGAATCCAGGACTAGACCAGTGGGGATGCAGGGCCACCCCGCTCCCCCTGCATGGGCGCCGGCCACGGGCTCCTTCCTTCATCTCTGCAGATGCTGGAGCCCCTGTTTACTTCTACGAGTTTCAGCACCGGCCCTACTGTTTCAAGGACAGGAAGCCGGCTTTCGTCAAAGCAGACCACACTGATGAAATCCGCTTTGTTTTCGGAGGCGCCTTCCTGAAGGGCGATGTCGTCATGTTCGGTAAGGAGCTGGCTTCCGAGGCTCCTGCCCTTGCAGGACCACGGGAACAAGCAGGGGGTGAGGAGACACGCCTCCCCACCGCGGGCGCGGGCACGGAGCCCCTCTCTCGCCCCGAGCTACGCGCGAGTCAGAGGACTCGCTGTAATTTACTGGTTTGAGCTGTGCTTCACAGCACCTTCCCTGGAAGATGCCCCTACTGGTACTTTTAGAGACCAAGCCGAGAAGAGCTGCCGACATTTGCTTGATGAGTGTTTCTCCGAGTACTAGGGCCTGAAGGGTGGGAGCCCCTCATGCAGTCTGATTTGTCGTTGAAAGAGCCACTTTCTTCCATCTCTCTGACTGCCAGTCTCACCCTCCCTGCCCTGCTCAGAACTCCTCCGGGGCTACCACCCGGGGCTTTAAAAGGCAACAGCCTCTTTGTTCATAGTCCCGGCCCAAAGTGGCCTGGATCCAGGTGATCTCATGTGATGTTTGTGAACTGTCACTACTGAGGTTCGCTCATGTATTCCTGAACTGACGACCTGTTCAGTGCCTAAAATAATAAGCCAATGAGATGAGGTTACCAATAGGAAAAGTTACAGAAACTACACACAGAAAACATCTGTAAAATACATAGTTTTAGAACATTACACAGTGCCGTCTCGGCCCGTTCAGGCTGGCTTCCTGACGAGGAGGCCAGAGCGCCTCATGCAGACTGCACGTGTGCGCTGGGGTTTGCTCATCGCCCCATTTCCTCGTCCAGTTCTTCGTTCTCATCTTACAACACCCATCCTAACAGCTTCTTCCTAGGTTGTCCCGGGGGTCAAATGAGATAATTCTCATAAACACACAGTGAGTGATACTGTTACTACTCAGCAACCATTACTGAGCCTGGAGTATTGATGGGTACATAGACTCTCCAAACTGGAAAAAATGAATGATACATGTGTCAAAGGGTTAACTTCCATGGTATCTAAAGAGCTCCTAAAATCAGTGCAAAAAGAAACAACCCGGTGGAACACTGGGTAACAGATATAAAGTTTGTGGAAAAGGAAATGCAAGTGGCCTTCAAATGTCAAAATCCACTCGACCTCACTCTCAGCAAGAGGACTGCAGACTTGCCTTGACGGAGGAATCAGTTTTCATTGGTTGAGGTTGGGAAGAGCAATACGTTTTCCATAGTTACTGGAGCAGGGGTGGGGAAACAACCTCATGTATTAATGGAAAACTTGATGAAAATCTGAAATGCATATGGTCTTTAGCCTAGCAATTCCACTTCTAGGATTTTTTGTGCAATTTTATTTTCACATGTGCAAAGATATACCTGCCCACGAAAGCATTGCTTTTACCAGCAAAAGTCTGGAAATAATGTAAGATCCATTAGTAGAGTACTGGATACACAAATTACACATTTACATGATTGCATATAAGTATATATATTCGTAGAACAATAAATGATAATAAGTGGGAGGTTTTTTTTAATCCTCATCCAAGGACATTTTTGCATTTATCTCTAGACAGAGCAGGAGGGAGAGAGGAAGGAATAGAGAGAGAGAAACATCAATGTGAGAGACACATCGACTGGCTGCCACCCACACGACCCCAACAGGGGTCAGGGACAAACCACAACCGAGGTTCTTGCCCTTAGTGGGAACCAAACCCAGGACTCTCTGGTCCGTGGGCCAACGCTCGAACCGCCGAGCCAACCGGCCAGGGCATAAGTGGAAGTTTTATAGGTGACACTGTGGAACTATCTCCTAGATAGAGTTTTAGCAAAAAGATGCAGAATCTGTGTCCATTATAGTACTGCGTGTGTAAACACATGTCCACCTAACCCCTGTACCTGTCCAGCCTGCCTTCGGAGGGTGCCCAGGAGCCTACGGTTGTTGCTTCCAGTTGGTAACAGTGGAGAGAAGAGATGGGAAGGAAACTAACTTTTATTAATACTCTTTCTGTATTTTGGGTTTCGCTCTTTGATCAAAATGCTTTGAGCATACCTTTTCAAATAAAGAAATACAATAATCAGAGAGAGAGAGAGATGGTCTCTGCCCCCAAGGAACTCACAGCTTCAGGGCGGGTGGGAGAACATGGGATGCACAGGGAGGCTGTGATTTCTTGGGCAAAGCCTCAGGACTTGCAAATACAAAGGAGTCACATGGCTGAGCAGGCTGGCGAGGAGAGACGGAAAAGGAGTTCATCACATGTGAGGCTCCTTGGGCTTCTGGCGAATCGCTGTGGGAACCGGATTTTGTGATTATCTCCCTCAGAAGGAGCCACAGAGGAGGAGAAATTGCTGAGCAGGAAGATGATGAGATACTGGGCCAACTTTGCTCGGACTGGGTAAGTAAACCTCCGGGCCTCCCCACAACTGGGTGTTTGAAAAGAGAAGTTCACCCCCGTTTCTTCTTTCGCTCCCAGGGACCCTAACGGGGAAGGCCTGCCTCTGTGGCCGGCCTACAGTCAAAGCGAGCAGTACCTGCAGCTGGACTTGAACCTGAGTGTGGGGCAGAGACTGAAAGAGCAGAAGGTGGCGTTTTGGACAGAGACCCTCCCCCTGATAATGTCCACTTCCGGAGGGTGCCCGAGTCCTCGTTTCTCGTTAATCTACCTTTCTCTGCTCCTGCCAGTCTTTTTCTCGTTTGCTCACTGAGAAGTTATCTTTGTGTGAAGTTGGTTTTCCTTCTCCTACTGCATTTCTCCTGCCATCACTGGCCTCGTTCTGTGTTTCACTACTTTATGGAATCAGCTGCTTCAGCTGATCCTTAGCGAATTCTTTTCAACATCAAAACAATGCAATTTGCCTTGAAAACTACCAGATTTCTTCAGTACATCTTCCAGAGGGCTGGCCTATTAGTTGGCATAATAATGATCTTGTGATGCATATGAAATAAAAGCAGAATGTAAAATATGTACAGGGAACAGAATTTAATTTTGGGCTGAAAACTCCTCTGCACTCTCAATATCTAAAATGAAGTGGACTGTCTGTCAGAGAAGGTGTCTGCTTGTGTTACCTGAAATGTGAGTCTTCCAATCCCAATCCAGGCAGGTTTCGGCCACAAACCAAGCACGGATTTCCTGAACACCACTGGCTTGAACAGGGTTCCTTCTATGGCTCAGAAATATGCGGGGGAAGGAGGCATGTCAGAGAGCCTCCTTCTCAGCAATGGAAACCAGGCGCCCTGTAAGGTCAGGAACCCAGAAGTCAAACCCTATGCAGCAAGGTCAGGTCAAGGACACCGGGGAGAAGAGATGTTTCCCTGATGGGGTTGAGACTAATGGATCATTCAGTAAATCTACACTGGGTGCCTGTCATGTACCAAGCATATCCTCACTGGGATACAATGGTGAGAAATGACATACTATCCCCCAAATGATGAGCAGACAGACAGGAAGCAGACATTCACGCTAGTGATTATTTATGATGTATGTTTGTTATGTTCACTCAGCAAAAGTAAGGTATTTTCAGAAAGTGTAACAAGGGACCTACTTTAGATTGAAGTCTTAGGAGGTTGTCTCTGGAAAAATAACACATGTGGTTAAAAAAAAAGAGATGAATTAAAGTTAAATAGATGATGGGCAGACAGAATTGTATATACCTTCATTCAAAGGATGCATTTTCACTTTTTATATCCACACAATTCCTATTATATCCTGATATTCTAGACCAGAGTAATTCATTTTTCCTTGAGGTGCATAGAATAGGAGGGTTCCTGAGATGTCAGTAACTAGGTGCATCTGGTCAGAGATCTCCAGCTCACAGTCTGAATCTGGTCCCCAGAGTGTTTTCTTTAGCCCACATAAGGTCAAAAATGTTTTGGAATTAGTTTCCAACTAATTTTAAATGAGGGGACTTTCACATGAAAAGCTGTTTCCAGCTGAGAGAGAGAGAGAGAGAGCTGGCAACACTGGGCTGCATTCTCACATGGCAGCCAGGACTTCTGACCCTTCACACAGCACTTTGTGCCAATCAGAAGGCACCTGTCTCAAAACCCTCTGCAGACATCTTCCAGGAAACTGTCACTGACGAAGATCTACGTCTGTGAGGTGAGCGACGCCCTGCAGGAGTGCCCCTGTGCAGTGCACAGCCTGGCGGCTCTTCCCAGCGCCCCCGGAGGGCAGCCCCCAGAGCCGGGTGACTGCCCCATGGCACGGGCACGAGCTCTCAGCTTTCCAGTCCTCGCTGTCCCCTTAGTCCTGTGCCTGGCCTTTCCACTCACGGATACCACCAGGCCTCTGAAGCTATTTCAGTCTGGACCCTCGACCTCTCATTTCACAGTAATCTGGAAAGGTGGAGGGATTCCCTCCAGGCCCCTCCGTGAGTTAGCAGCAGCCCAAACCCAGGCCTTGAGTCTCTTGTCTCTCCAGAGCAGAACCCTTCCTGCCAAGCTGCCTGCCTCCCTCAGCATACGACCCTGGGCTGTTGGACTGTCTCTGGCGTAGGGGATTGTGGGAGAGGTGCATCAGTGATGCTGGGGCCCTTTATGGCTCCAGGAAGAGGGAGTGAGCCTTATGCAAGCTGGAGCTTCAGTTGCTTCTGCAGCTGTGGAAGGCTAATTTCTACATCGACATTTCAGTAAACTAACAGCTAGAAAACATCACTCAACTCATTTTTAAAATACTATCATATTAAATGACATTACGCATATTATTTATATACTGCTCACAGTCTCAGCATCCGCAAATGTAGTTCTAATTTTGGTAGGTGTCTTGCAAGAGAGAGCATATTTCAAAATCTTCCAGATACTGGGCCCTCTTCCCTGCTTGTTCCTGTCCACATGCAATCAGATGTATCACTGAATTACATTGAAATATAAATGCCACTTGGTATCCTGATTTCTTTCTTCAGTTCAGGGGTTTCTCTCAGGGGTATAGTCAGCAGACTGATTCGGAGACTTCCCCCAAATCCCAGTACCCAGGCCACCCCCGTTATCTGTGCAGCATCTTCTCGGCTGGCACCAGGAAAGCTGTATTTTCAGTGCTCCTCCCTGGTCAAGGACTGCTGTGCATTGATTGTGTGGCATATGCATTTTCCAAGTTGCTAAAGGAGCTTTTAAAAACTCAGCTGGCATATCTGCCTGTTGTGGCTCCATCAAATCTCTTCAGCTGCTAGCCCGCTCCTGGACTTATGTGGGCATAATCTGATAACAACTGTGGGAATAGGTACTTTGCATTTTAAAAATTATCCCTGGCACCTGGATTTACAGGAGAAGATGGACAGAGTCAAAGCCATCCTTTTAAAATTAGTCCTTTTAAAATTAGTCTTATATTCTACAAGTTCATTTCCGAGAGTCCCATCACTTCGTGTTTGCGGAGAGCACAAGTATATGTATTTCGCAGTCACCTCTGCTTTTTTCATAATTGTGAGAGCAAAATATTTAATTATGTTCTAATTGTAAATTAAACATTTAGTTTTTTGCAGAAAATCCTTCCCCCAAACAATCTTGGACCTGAATCACTAAATCAAACCCAAACAAAAACTCCTAAGACAAACCAAATGTTTTTGCCTGTGTATTTCTTAGTGTCCAGCAGAGGGCAGCATCATATAAAGGGAAAAATGCTTCCTTCCACCGGGCGGCTTCTGGGTGGTTGTGCCGGGACAGTGTAGAACTTGGAAGGAAAAGAACACCGGTCAAATGAGCTCAGTTACAAACCAATGCCATTTACTCTTGTTCTTCCCCCGTAACATGTGGAAGGTGGAAAGTACTTTGTTACCTGAAAAGTCTGACTGTAATAACTCACAGGTGGGGCAGGGGTTGGGGCCAGCAGTGTCTGTCTTTCCTCAGGTTTGTATTTTCCCATCAAGCCTTTCTGCCCCAGATGGGCAGAAAGGAGTCCTTGTCCCTGTGGCTCCCTGTTCCTCCCTCAAGGGCGCTTTGGACTCTGGATCTGTCTGCCCCAACTCCAAAGCCCAGTTCTCCTCCTTCTGTGCCTCTGACCCTGGCTGCAAGTCATGACTGTTTCCCTGGGCAGAGTTTGGGGAGAGGGTGGCAGGGGGCTCACCTCTGCACCCAGGAAACTGTCCTGCCTGGCGATGTCCCAGGCAACATATTTGCAAGACAAACCTGCCTGTTCACAGCCGAGACAGACCTATCCAGTCATAGCCTTGTGTTGTGCTAAAAGTTCATTCTATTCCCTGGGAAGGAAAACTTACCATATCACTTGATTGTGTCTAAGGGCAAAGCAATCCCTTGGCAAAGAGTCTGCTGTTCTCCATGGACTGGTCAGAGTTCAAGTTGGGCCTTGAAAGTTGGACAGGAGGATAAAGGCCACGCCAGCAAAGGTGTGGTGGCAGCAGCCATGGCGGTGGCTGGGGGGCAGCCCAGTAGGCAGCGTGGCTGCCATTGGCAAGGTTGCTAGAGCACACCTTGGAGGCCAAGAAGGATATATTTTGATCTTGACCTGCAAGAAACAGATTTCTTTCTTTCTAGTGGGATGATTGATAATCTAGCTGTCTGTCCATCCATCCATCCATCCATCCATCCATCCATCCATCCATCCAATCTGTTTGGGCCCCTTTATATAATTATACTTGAAGCTCTATTTACCTCCTGGAATTTTCATGTACAAGAGCCAATATATTCAATATATGTTTTAGGTAAGTTTAAATAGGATTTATATCAGTACATACAATAGAGTCCTGATTAAAATAATTGCACATTTGACTATTTACATTCTAGTCTATTTCTATAACTTATATAATCTTTAGTAATTTTATCTATAATAATCTTGTCTCTATTAGATAGTAAGTTCTTAAGACCTGGAACAAATTTTTAAGTTTTTAATTGAATATACTATACATATAAGAAAGTATGTGTGTATATACATATACATATACATGTACGTGTGTGTGTATATATATAGTGTTCTGATGAACTTTCACTGACTGATCATGCTTGTGTACCCAGCACGCAGACCAAGGCACAGAAACGATCAGACCCTAGTTCCAGGCCCCGCCGGCCATCCATGTGACCACCACGTGACCACTGTCCTGACTTCTAGCAGCATGTTGTCATTTTCTTGGATGTTGTACTTCATATCAGCAGAATTCCGTACGCTAGCATCTGGCTTCTTCCTCTCAACATTGTGTTTATGACGCTCTCCAGACGGCATGTGGCTGCAGTGTTTCAACCATTGCTGTGGGGTCGTCATATGTGTGAACAGGCCATAAATTATCCATTCTACTCTTTTTGGGCACGTGGATGGTTTCCAGCTTCAGATTATTATGAATAGAATTTTATGAATATTCTAGAAGTTGTCATTTAGTGACAATCTGCATGCCTTTCTTTTGGATCTTTATCTATCGGTGACTCTGCTGGGTCCCAGGGGTCGTGTACGGCAACATTATTAGACACACAAAAAGTTTCCCGAAGTGGTTGTACAAATTGGCCCTCCTACCAGCAGACTAAGAGATTTCCGGCTGCTCCATGTTGTTGTCAATACTTGGTGTTTTTTGAAGGACGGCTACACGTTTATTCTCATTCATTTCTATACATTTCCTTGCTTAGCTTTGTTAGCTTTAACAATTGGTTTACAAATTGCATTCCACAAAATAAGTTACATGATAGAAAAAGTGGGCCATGGATGGTCAGTTAGTAACATAATGGCAGAGACAACTTTGTCCACCATCCTGACTATTAGGTAAGTGACCAGGCATCGGCGTCACCAGGGGTCCCTGTTACTGCAGCCATCTCTTGACACTCAGATTTCTGGATGGAAATCATATTATGTTGAGGCTGCCAAGGCTTCTGGTCTTTGTTGTAATCGGGCAGTTGGACTCCCTGGATTCAGTTCAGTTCTGGGACCGGCAGAGGCAGAGCACACGTGGGGACGCTGGCCGGGGGA